ATCGTCCCGATTCTCGCTCTCTTTCGCTTTCTCCTCGTTCTGTTTACCGGCGAATTCGGTCCGCGTAGTCGCAGCAAAAAAGCGGAGGCTAGAATCCGAAGATTTCGGGGAACGGCGTGTCACCGACTTCGCTTTCCTCCCGACTACTTTCGGCGACTTCGTGGCATCCCGGGTATTCAGGTCGAGGGTTGGGAAATTGTCGAAATTCGCGGAGATCGTAGACGACGGTTTCGCGCGAAGCTCGAGCAACAACGAGATCGGAAGAACGGCGGGTCGACTCTTCACCCTTTCTTCTGAAATGACTCAGAGAAAGAGTAAAGGGGGGAGGGGAGAGGCAGGATGAAATTTTACCTCGTGTGCCAGTGAATTTCCTGGCGAAATTAAATCCACCGATAATCAGCGTTCGCATTCATGACGAGCGAGCGGAGCCAGACTTTCCGGCGTGGTCCGCGTCGGACCAGCAGCGGCGAAAGCAGTAAGGGGTGGCACAAAGAAAGGCGGGAGAGAAAGAGAGTTCCCGGCCGGCAAAATTCGATTCGCAAGCCGCGCGGAGAGATCGTTAGATCTCCCCGAGAGACAGCGCGAGCTTGCGGGCGAGCAGGGCGAGGAGACGCGCGAGGAGATAAAGGTTTTCGTTCACGGTCGATCGCGAGCACTGCGATTCGACGATTCGGTGCACGTGTGTATGCAACGTGCACGTACAGAGAGGGTGATAATGTATTCAAGGTCCGCCCCGTGGGCCGAGTAGTGGGGTGAAACGGGCCGGCCCGCGCGCTATAGGTACTGTAACAGATGTTAATTATCCCTTCTGTATAGCCGGCGAAAAAAGGAGCTCGCGAGCGAGCGAGCGAGCGAGCGCTCCTTCCTCGGACATATCGTCCGATCGTACGTTGCATCCCCGCTCGTCGCCGGCAGCGCGTGTATTCTCGCGGCTACGCCTAGCGCGCTCGCGCCAATCGGAGGGCGCGCTCGACTTCGACCGACCCTACTGGCGATTATTCGCACGGATCTTTCTGCTTAAATCTGCAGATCCGTTTAATGCCGAGAGATGCGCCGGTGAGCCGAGAGAGGTAGAAATAACAATGGACAAGAGCGCTCGAACGAGGTTTGCCCTGCGCACACACCGGACCGCGATCGCTCGATCCTCCTCTCCGCTGAGTGCACGGAGACCACGGCGACACGGGGCTGCCAAAGTCGGCTGGCTAAGAATAGAGCGCGATCATGCCGAATCGAGAAAGGATACACCGTGCCCCTCAGCGCGGGACCGATCGACGAATAATAATAATCTTTGCTCACGGGGCAACCCTTTAGCGCACAAGTAACATCGCTGATTGACGGACGATGTGAAAAATAACACAGGAGAAAATAATCAGGAAGATTACGGTACACGAGTCTGTTCTTTTGCGCTGAACCGGCTGCATTAGCTTGTATCGGTTCTCTTTCCTCCACCAAGTCTTAATTGTACAGGGTAGAAAATTCTGTTATCGAGATTAGGAGAAAGTATCCTGATTGAATGTATCATGAGGAGTTTATTTGATTATTTTCGAGTGTCCGTAATATCTCGATATTAATTATAATTCTCAGACTTTTCGGACGGTTATGTCGACGAATTAAGTCGTTCTTCTTATTATTCGGAAGAAATGTTGCGTGAATTACCGAGCATTCTGAAAAGTACAGTGAGGCTATTACTTAATCTAAAGGGATATTACTTCAATTACCGAACGTAGGACTTTGTACTAAGCAACGATAGCCGATTTACAGAGTGTGATACCGTGCCTTTATTAACAATCTTCTAAGCGCAATTGAGATTAAGCGTACCTGAGAACTGCCACTGAAAACTGACGGTAATCGGGCCTTCACACTTCAACAGGCAGTCTATTACCAGATTCGATAAATGAAATAAACATGTGAATTGAATTCTATTACCGACATCTACCTTTTTCTCTTAAGAAATAATTAGGATACACATTTTATCGCTTCAATTAAAAATATAACGTTTTGAAAAAGAATTTTGATGCCGCATCGAGATACGAAAAAATATTGTTCACGAATCTTCGCATTCGTGTGCTTAGTATATTCAGCTGAAGAAGAAACAAAATTAAAGTCAAGTGATTAGAAAACGTTCTTTAAGTATAAAAAAGACTGGTGAAAAATTGTTTGATGAACAACACACACAACATGAATGCTAATACTTGCAATTTTCAGAAAAGAATTCATCGTACTACTTTCGACCACCTTACTTTTACAATTTATTAAAAAAAAAAAAAAATGAATTCTGTCGATAATAGAGTCAGCCTCGGTAATGGGGACTTTTGTCCCGTCTACAAATATACACTGGTTCAGCGAAAGCGAACAACAGACTGTACGAATACATTAGAACAGGCCTGAGACGGAGGACAAAAGGAGAAACGAAATCAATCGAATCAACGAGCGGAGTCTTCTGGTATGCGCGAGAATGGGCGTGTTGGAAACACGTTTCTCGCGAGGGTGTCGACGCGGCCGATATCCGCGGCGACGATAGAGATTTTCCGCGGAGGTTCGCCGCTTGAAGGCTCAATTTTACCGGCAAACACGCTCTCGTCGGGATGACAGCGGCTTCACACCATTGACACCGCGGACAGCGGCGGTCGGCCGCGCGAACCGGGGGTTGATCTTTCGAGGACCGGTTGCTCGCGCCGGTCTGAATGGCGCTGTCGTGCGAGCGGCGCACAATTTCGCTTGATCGAGGAGGCAATAGAGAAAGTCAGCCCTCTCGTGCTGACGCCGCGGCATCGGCCGACAGGTCGACGGGATTACGGCGCGCGCGACACCGGCCGATTCGATAACCCCTGCCGTACGTTCCTCCATTTAAAGGTTAATTATTTACGACTCGGCTCATTAGTCCGTCCGTGATCGGCAATTATCGTCATCGGGCCCGACAGGGCGCGACGCGCTTCGTCACACACGTGATCGGCGAGCGTCGTCGGGGAACGGCGCGGTCTCCCCCTCGTGCGTTTTAACGATTCCGGTTTAAATGGGAAATTCCATCGTCCGTCGACGCGTCGTTCTTCCTTTCCGCGTGAGCGGGCCCAATCAAGCGCGATATTAATAAGAGGCCGGCTGCGTGGCGAACGAGCTACTCATCGCGCCTTCCTGAAGGATGCGGTCCGGCTGGGGTCAGCCTCCAAAAGAGGCGAACGTCAGACGACGCGGCGGAAGCGCGAAGAAGTCATTTTCCAACGGATTGAAATTCCATTCCGCCGAGAAGGCGCGAGAGGGAGAAGCCCGAGAGCGAGAGAGCCGGGGAGAGCCGTAAGGCCATGAAATGACAGTTAGTACGGATATAACCCTTCCGAGATAAACCCTTTCGATTGGTCGGACGTTAATGCTTATCACGCTGCCTGCGCTCAGCGTCCTTTTATTGTTCCTTTCTCATTTCTCATTTTTTCCACCGTCGTCCCCCCTCCCCCCCTCTCGCAGCCGCGCTCTCCTTCCACCCTCTCGGCGCGCACCTTCGCCACTACGACGGCGTGTAATGGGCTTAAAGGCTGCATTCCAATAACCGAGAAACGAATTGTCGTGCGCGCGCTCGCGCGTTATCGCGCCGGGTCGGCGGAGAACGCGAGAGAGCGACCGCCGGCAGTAACCACCGGCCCTCGTATATCACCGTGGGCTTTTGTTACAGCGACGTGCCTTTGTTTTCGCCTCGTTTTCGCGATTCCCTCGCGACTCCTCGAGCGCATAGGCGAAGCGGAGCGCGCGGGCTTCGATCGAAAATAGGTCGATCGCTGCGACACAGTCGGATGCTTGCGCCGAAGCTGCGCAAGGAACTCGCGCTGACTAGAAGTCTTCTCGTAAGAGTCCCAGATATGTTGAATAGACTGAGCATTGCCGTTGGAAAGCTCCGGCTCGATCGTATCTTTTCCTCCAGCGAATCCATGAAAGGTGAGCATTTTTCCAACGTCGGTGATACGTGGATACGTCGTGCGGAAATGCTGTCTTTTCACGGGTTCGCGCTGGAGAAACCCCCCGAAATCGAAGGATAGACCGCGTGTTAACAGTAACGCCATGCGTCGCTTCTCTTCTTCTCTTCTCCCCACCAGCTAAACAAGGAAAGCGTCACTGTCTCGAACTCCTCTCTTATTAATGTCGGTTCCAATCCTCCAATGGGAATACCGGGTCTGTTTTATGTGCCTTTGGTCCGGACACCGTGTGTCTGCTTTCCGATTGACTTCGCTTCGCTCCAGCTCCCGGTTGGCAGAAGTCACAGCCTGCTTTCCAGCAAAAGGCAAGAGAGTCTAGTTACCATCATCCATTGTCCTTTTCTTTAATGCGATAATAACCGTATGATAACAACGAATGATGACGTAACTAGACTAGTAGACTTGTCTCTTGTTGGTAAGCAGCCAAACTTATTAGCCGAGTGACAACGTAAACAAACGCGGAGAAATATATTTAGCTGGCACGGCAAATTGTTCGTTGCTGTACGGGGACAGCGAAGAGATTTGTTACAACGGGAAGGACGATTTCGCTGTTGTAGCAAAACGCCGTTGCCACAACGATGGAATTCAGTTGGCACCGAATTGTTTTGCCGTTCAAACAAATCTCCTCGCTGTCCGAGCAAATTTCCTTGCTGCGGCAACCGACAAATTTTTCCCTGTAGTAACCAACAATTCGACGCGCCAGCGAGGTCTACGAAGATTATCGTTTCACATTGCTTGTTAATTTCTTCCGATTCGCACGTACTTCAGCAATATATTTCGCGCGGCGCAGCTGCGAACTTCCTCGAGCTGAAGGCAACGGCTACGGTGAGCAGACTCTCATTACAGAGACCGGCGAGCCGGTCGTGGTTCCTTCTTCGCGGGAAGATACGATATCTCCCGCTGATTCCCGGCTTTCTCGCGAATCGGTAGATAAGGTCGCATCTTGGAAGCGGTTCTCAGCGGAACACGTGGGAAGGGAATCCGCGGTTCGGCTCGGCGACAGCCCAGGATGACGTTCGCCTTCGCTTTCTGTTGCAGGATGCGCTGAGGAGTCGGCTGGTGCGCGAGGTTCGAGATGTCCGCCGTAACCAGCCCGTATGGCCCCCGTAAGCCCATTCTTTCGCCTCAAGCCGAATATCAGATAGCACACTGATGTGAAAGGTCCTCTCCGCGCGTAACGATTAACTCCACCGAGATCTCCTCTCTTTCTCTTTCTCCCTCGAAATCGTGAACGTACCCACGATAGTCCGTTACGCGAATAACAATAGTTAAGAAGAATGACCGTCGATCCGCGGAGCGTTTCAGCTGGGAAGGGCTCCCTGCCGGCGATTGTTGCGTCGCCGGCGACGAGTCTCCGCGAGCGCGCTGAGAATTCGTCCTACGCTCCGAACGGCTCGTTCCGGCTCGTCCAAGTGAAAGCAGTTCTTGTGCGGACGGACACGAATCGCGATATTAATTTCGCTAAACTATCGCGTTGTTGGCGAGGGCGAGCGCGCGAGCGCGCCCATTCCGGGAACACGTCCGCCATCGGCGAGCGGCTCGAGTTCGCGGGATTGTAATTGACGCTAAAAGTTGATATCTATTAACTGCGATATGAGAAACGGGCAACGGTTGCGCGGCATCGCCTTGAAACGTCGTGGTATTCGTTACTCGGAATTAGTGGCCATTGTCACCTCGCGCGAATACTCCGCCGCTCGCCGAGACGCTTTCCATTCTATTCGGCGTCCTCGAGACTCATTATTCGGCATGCCGAAGGGCTGCGTGTGAGAAAGAGAGAGAGAGAGAGAGAAATCGGGGCGATTTCTTTCCAGGGTACGGTCGAAAAGCGTACTCGTTCGTTCGCGAGCTCGTAATGTCGGTCGAGGAATGGAACGGTAGGATTAGCTGTTAATCCAAACGAGACGGCGATCGAATGAATTCCATCTTTCATCAGCGGACATGCTTTCCGACTCGGTCTACAACTACGCGACGACCCGACGGGGCGCCGCCGATCAGGACAGCGACTCCCAGTACGAGAGCCAGGCGCAGTTGCAGATCACCAGCAGTATACAGAAGCCGCGGAACAAGCGGAAGAACTTCAAGCCTATAAGCAGCCGGATGGCGGAGGTGTCGGACGAGTCCGAAAGGGACGACGACGAGCCGGAGGTCGTGGAGGAGAGCTCCAGCGAGATCCTCGAGTACGAGAGGAAGACGATGCTGTTGCCGGCCGAGGAGAGGTCGAAGCAGAGGCTAAACAACAACGAGGTCAGCCCGATGGACCTCTCGGTCACCACCAGGCCGCCCTCCTCCGAGGCCGATGACGACAGTGCGGACTCCCTCAGGCACAAGTTCATCCTCGAGCAGCTCAGGTCGCAGAAGTTGTACTCCCCCGGCACAGAGGTAAGGCGGTCGACCGAGTTCTCTTTCCGTCCTCGAATATTTATCACCGTTTTTATCGCCATTCTTCTTGCGCTCGTTCATCCCTTTCAATTTTCTCACGATCGATCTCGGAGAATAATCATTCCCGAACGTTCCGATCTTATTAAATTCATCGCAAAAGGCCGTTCCGTTTCCCCGTCAAAATATATATGTTACGTTTATTTATCTAAAGATATTGGTAAGCCGTTGTGGTGAAATATGCGCCGTTTTGTTTCGGTGACTTACCATCCCTCCGTATGACCCCGCGTCCGTAGAAATCCTGGGTTTTCGGAAGGTAGAATTGATTAGGAAACGGGACAGACGTTGTGCGTTAACCCGATGGCACCAGTGGCGCGAGGTTTGCAATTAAAATTTGCAGCGGGGAAGGTAAGATTAGCCGCATACGTTTATCCGCAGGATTATCCGGCGCGTGCGTCATTACACATGGGACGATATATCTCCCCGCAATCATTTCATAATATCGCTACAACAACGACGATTTCGCTCGGGTAAGCCCGTTCTGTTTCTACACGCGGAGAAAAAGATTTCTTTGCATTTATAATCAAGTTTCTTCGATCGAAGCGAATTTGTCGGCTGAAGCGAACAAACGAATATTTAACAAATAAGATCGTTCGGTTAATAACACCGCTACAGCTGTCGCGATTCGGCTGTTAAAAGGGACCTTTTATTTCTGCATGATGAAAATTGTCGCAACATGTGAGCGGCGAATCGGGCAAAAATGGTCACATCGATGATCGTGAGATATCCGTTGTCTACGATGCGCAGGCGAGAAGTCCGAACTCCGATTCGTCGGAGAGGAGCGGCAGCGGCGTCCTCGACGCGGAGTCGTCTCGTTTGGACGACCAAGACACCCAGTTCGAGGACGAGCGGGGCAACGACGCGGACGGCGAGGCCGAGATCGAGGAGCGGAAGCCCTTCGAGGGCATGAGGGAGTACGCGGAGTCGACGATGCAGGAACTTCTAGCGATCTACGGGCTGGCAGGAGGCGAGCTGGCGAAGTCGGTCAGCAGGCAACTGCCGCCCACGTTCCTCAACCCGAGTGTTGGTCACCAGGCTCAAGGTTAGTACCTTCCAAAATCCGACGATCGCCGGCGACTCGATCCGGCCGATAATCCGCGAGATCGGGACGCGAAGAGACGACGACGGGCAACTTTCGTGCGATTAGCAGAGCGACTCTTTCAGACCGTCGTCGTTCGAAAGATCAAAGTCATCGATTCCGAAGGCTATTGAAAGCTATTGCTGTCTTCAATTAATATAGATGGCCATTCAAATGATCGACGATCCCGGCCGCTCGCGTGCTTTCCTCCCGCGAGTCAAGTAGCAATTAGAACCGCCTGCATCCGACAAAATCTTTCGGCGAATCAGAAGACGCGGATTGGTTGGCGTTGAATTCGGGGTTGGCGCAGGGTCGATCCTTGGCTGCCGCTGCGACTCAATATTCGCGATCGGGCTTGGCCGGCGGTCAATTCTCTCTCTCTCTCTCGCTGTCAGATTGATGAGACGTCGACGATTTCGTCGCGCTTTCGGTAAATTCTCGGTCCTGCCCGGAAATTCCCGGCGACGGAAACGGAGGACTGTCCGAGGAGGAGGTTTCCTCGGCGATCGCGGTAGCCGCGATGGTCGCTCGATACAACGTGAATTAGAAGCCTCTGCCGGGAACGGGTTACGTCAGCCGGTATCGCGATAAACGAATTCACTTCTCGCGATACGCGCGAGTTGCGCGCTCTCCGGATGGCCGAGCCGGACGGAGCTTTCAGTCGGGACTGTACGTGCACCAGAACAGAATGTGGCACTTACATATTGCCGGTGCATCGCATATGTGCGCACGTGAATATGTGATGGCTCTCGCAAGATGGCCGACTTATAACTCATAAAGTCGGTCGGTCCGACTGCGCTAAGCGCGTCGGCTGGCCGACCCGCGATCGATGGATGCCTTCGAGATCAGCCAGCGTCATCGTTTCCCGTTGCGACGAGCGTGGGTTGACGCTCTCGAGAATTCCCCGCAGCCGAGGAATTCTCGAGCTGCTTTGGGTTACGCGCTCTTTCCTCTTAGCACTTCGGCCGATCGCCTCTCTTTCAAGCCCGTATTCCGCTAATTGCGAATGCAGGGAATTAAAAGCCGAGGTGAGACTGCGACGATTATCAGTTGGTTGGTGTAATCTCAGCGTGAATTGCAATCTCTCTTCGTTTCCTCGCGCGATTTTCACGAAGACCCATGCATTACTAATTTCTTATTAAATCGTCTTATTAAGTCTTATTAAATACAGAGTTTACGTCTCAGATATTCTTGTGGCTTCCGAAAATATGATCGTATCTCATCATTATTTAATTGCTCCGGATGGCTAAGCATTCATCAACGTTTTATCTTTCACTTATCTTGTACAATCTATAATGTTCTTCGATCTGGATCTCCATCATATCTGCGAAAATTACTTTATTCTAATTCAAGCTTTCACATTCAAATTCGTCCCTCATTACACGACTTCAACCTAGCCTTTCATTTCCACCTTACTTTGAGAACAAGTTTGAACATGCCTCTTCGTACATTGCTGTGAAACATTTTTAACTCGCTTCTCTTATCGGCATGCTCTGCGAATATATTTTCATTTTTTCGTTCTACTGTTATTAAACATATTACCGCTGTATAATAATTTTGTTTTGTCAATCTTTGTCAGGTTGGGCAAAAAACAATGATGAACTGTCGCCTCGTCGTTTGAGTATATCTCTCACTGTTGATCCAATGTATATATACTTTAATGTTATTTACTCTCTCGATAAAGATAATAGTAATAATAATAATAATAATAATAATAATAATAATAATAGAACCGTAATAGTGACAGAATTCAGGATTTATTGAACATTTCATTATTTATATTTGACTATTTGATTATTACTCGTACGCATCCAGATGAATTATGACTTGATGCAATATGTGACACGATACAGTGAGTGAGTGAGAGAGATAGACAGAGAGAGAGAGAGAGAGAGAGAGATTATTTATTTGGCGCATTGGAATAAATCACTCAAGTGCAGCAACGATTACAAAAATAATGATATTCGCACAAAATGAAGATTGTTTTAATAATAATTACAATATCGCAATATAGCGGAACCAAATGAGAAAGACAGACAAATGCTGACGAAAAGATGAGAAGAAAAAGAGAGAGAATACACGTGATACAATATCTATCGTGATATCATTGAATGGCGAAAAAACCGAAAAACTATCCTGGTCGCTTTGTCATTGTCTACCAGCTGGTCGCCACCTACGTGACGAAGAACAAAAGCCAAGTTCTCTCGCGGCGCGACGTATCGTCGGGATCGATACAAAAATCGTGCGCAATTTATCATGCGAAAGAGTTTAAAGCGCGCTAACGCTCGTCTCTTGACAATGACACGTAACACGGCTCGCCGGCAAAAAAAGGCCGGAGAGAACAGTATTTCTCCGCGAACGTCACTCGTCTCTGTGAACCTTGCTTCGACGATCGCAGCGAGCAAATATGTTACGTATTTGTTTGTACCGTTCGGAATATACCGGCCGTCGTTTCGCGTTAACCTCGGGGAAAATGAAATCCCGCATTATCCGCGCATCCGACGCGCGAGATCCGCCGAGACCCCGGTGACCAAGCGCTCATTTTCCTCGCGGCACGGCCAATAAACGCGCGAATTTGCATCCCGTGACCCACAAATCCGTTCTCTCTAAACGCGCGACCGCCGTGCGACTCGCGGCCGGTCGCTCCATTTCGTGGCGCCGCGCGATATTAAAGAGAGACATTACACGCCGAAGGGAGAGGAAAGGTGTGTCGTACACGCGATCGTCACGCTGAGAGCGGGCCGATAATCCGGCGCGAAGAAAAGCAGAAAAGTCGGCTCGGGCGGAAGAAGAGAGAAAGAGACGTGGCGATGCTTCGGAGGATCGAAGGGAGGATCGAGCGAGGGGCGAAGGGGCAGACACCGCGGTGCCTCCGTGAACCCATTAATCATTCCACCCGGATAAAAGGCAGTAAGGATGAAAAGAGAAGACGGACAGTCGGACGGACAGCGGGCAGGCACGCAGACGCTGAAGGAAGGAGCGGATAGGAGAGACGGAGAGGTCGAGAAAGAGACGGAGGGACGAAGAGGAGGATAAGAGAAGAGGGAGGACGCCTCTTCTCTCTTTCACTCCGCTTCTTCTCGCGCGCGCGCGAGATCATTTTTTATTTTTGTCCTTTTCGAAATTCGTCGGACGCCTCCATTGTCAGGGCCCGCGGAGACTCCGGGAGAGAGACAGGCCTCCTCCTCTCTCGTGCCCCCGAGCGTCGTCCCGTCGCAGGGGCCAGATTCATTAACTGATAGCACGATTCCCCCGGCTCGGTTACGTTTTTTAACGATATCCGTCCGCAGCGCCGACTCGGAAGAATGATCGTCGAATGCCACCCGTCGGGCGAGAAAATCCGCTGCGTCCTCGAAATCGGCCGGCGGACCGATCGATGGCTATATATATATCTCTCTCTCTCTCTTTCTCTCCCCCTCCTCTTCGCTCCCTTTCTCTATATAGATCGTCATCCAATTTAGCGACGCCTTAAAAAGTAATCGACGTTATACCGGATGATTATCTACTCGAAAAGGTATACACACACGTGCGTCCCCGGAGCCGCCGATAGGCGAAGAAATTCAGAGCTCGGGGCGGTTTCACGGATCCGGTTGTTTCTAGATCTCAATCTGGCTACTCGCTAGAAACCTCGACGGAAAGTACGTCCCCCTCCTTGGTAAAGAGCCCCGTGACAAAAAGTTGCCGTTTCGAAAAGCGAGAGCCTCTCCCGCGGACAACGCCGCGAGGAACACGGCGAAACCCTTCGTTAAGAGACGCCGGATTCGAAAAGCCAGCTAACTCGACCGCTATTCAACGAATCTGTCGTATCTGCCGGTCGGGTTTAATTCGAGACGTTGGCGCTCGAGCGAGGAAAGGAACGGGGGAATCGGCCGGTATTGAGGGGCTCTCCGGGCGGGGAGCCTCCGGATCGCAGCCTGGTTACGAGCTTTTATGTCTCACGAGTGCGTACCTCGCTCGCATGAGTTAGGTATGACGGTCGTCCTCCGGAGGACGAATCGTCGCGAGATCGAAATCGGAGCTTCCTCTCCTCGCTCGGGGACAAAGAGCCCTCGCGTCGGATCACGAGAGGCGTTGAAGACTTCAGGTGTTCGAACCGGCCGCTGAATTGTGGCTCGCTGTGTCTCCTGGTGAATTTTAATGCCCGAGTGAAAAATGGCAGAACAATGGGGGGAAAAGAGGGAGAGAGAGAGAGAGAGAGAGGGAGATAGAGGTGGACGGATAAAGAGAGAGCCGAAATTTCGAACGCTGCTCTGACGCTCTTAAAGATAGTTTGCGCCTACTTAGACGGCTTATAGACCAGTAAAAACCTACTTTGACGATACTGACGCTTTTCGTCTTCTCTCTCGAACTTATTCTACAGATTGAATTTTTATGGTACCTTCAACGACCTGTTTTCACGCGAAAACGGCGAAGACAGATATTTCAGACCCCGTCACGCTCGAAATAAGAATAAATTCTTATTAGAATTGAAATTCAACCTATTTCGCTATCTCAGCTCCTATCGTGTTGTAGAATCGAAGGTTTAACGCAGGGCCAGAATTAGGAACTCCTTCGCCAATTTTTCTCCTCCCCGTGTCAATTGGTTTCGCCATATTCGACGGGGAACGACGATATCCTCCGAGCGATCTATATCCGAAATACTCTCGCGAACGGCGACGCTTAATTGCGGCTTTTTACGCCGTCAAATGTTCACGAGAATACATAAAATGTGCGATATCTCTCGCGCTCGAGCGAGGATATTTTCCGCCGCGTGGGCTGGAGGAGAGCAGCAAGTGGAAGGAGCAGAAGAAGATCGACGCCGCGAATCTCGCGAGGCGTTGATCGCCGCTGGATTCCCTCGGTGCGACGAGATCGTGAAACGTTTTATGAAAGCTTTTATGAAAGGCTTTACGAGCCACGGACCGAACTGGGGCCCCGGGTTCGCTTCTGCTACACACGTGCTGCCACGGCGACGAGAGCCCCTC